TTTTTAACAAAGTTACATTTTATTTTTAGTTTATACTTAAAACAAGAATAAATATGTCAATGGGATATTAAAACACATTTTTCCTTTGAATTAAGTTGACTTTTCTGAACCCATTTGCAGATATTTGTTCTTGTTTTAATCAAGAACGTACTTCATCAATTTCATACAAATAAATATCATCTTATGTAATTTTGCTTCTCAAGTAAATGTATCTTGATTTAAGAATTACATTCGGTTTCTTTACATGGTGTTAAAAAGATCTTAAAAAGTCTTATATTTACCTTTTTAAAACCTGTAGAAACCCTGCAAATGAGAGCTTTTAAAATTACAGCTGCATTGCAGCTCAGAACATTTGAGTCAGTTTTGATCTTTTTGAGTCATTCGATTTGAGTCAGTATCTTGTGCAATTTCTGATGCTTATAAGGTTCTTTTTCTTAGGAGAAACACCTGAGAAGGAGACTTGTTTGCTGCTTAGCTATAGACAATGAAATGTTAAATAAAGTAAAAAAAAAACAATGGTGCAAAATTATTTCGTCTGTCTCTACAGGGGGTGAACAGCATGTTTCAGGTGGTCCTGACAGGAAATAACTCTGAGCACTTCAGCATCTCTCCCACCTCAGTGCAGGGCAGAGCAGACCTCCGTGTGCGTGTGGCCGTCCCGCTGGACTACGAAACCATCAGGAGCTACAGCTTTTCTGTGAGTGCAGAAAACACACATTTTCATCCATCCAAATTACAGAATTTTCAGAATCATAACTTCAGGCTTCAGTGTCACATCATCCTTCAGAAATTATTCTAATATGCTGATTTTGGGCTCAAGAAATATTTTTTATACTGCAAAATATTTTTGTGGAAAATGCAATACATTTTTTTTCAGGATGGAAAAGTTCAAAAGAACAGCATTTGTTTGAAATTGATTTTTTGTAATAATGTAAAAGTCCCTTTAAAGGGATAGTTCACCCAAAAATTAAATTTCTGTCATTAATTACTCACCCTCATGTCGTTTCAAACCCGTAAGACTTTTGTTCATCTTCGGAACACAAATTAAGATATTTTTGATGGAATCTGAGAGCTGTCTGACCCTGCATAGACAGCAACGCAGCTGAAATGTTCCCAAGTTCAGAAACGTATAAGGAGATCTGTAAAATAATCCATGTGACATCAGGGGTTCAACCGCAATTATACGAAGCTACGAGAATACTTTTTGTGCGCAAAAAAAAA